GTTTACTCTAATTTTCTTGGTCCACAAACACCAGCTCTTCCAGGAGTGAGATTCATGTGTTCCACCAAGAGAATATGAATAGACCAAAAAAAAAAAGAGAATATGAATATTTTTAAAAATAATAATATTAATCAAATCAACAATAACATGCACCTGCTTATTTTGAAAATGTCTTTATGGTCCTACAACTAAATTTAAAATACGATGGAACAAGATTTTGCGTCCGTTTCATAAATGAAGCATTAGAAAAAGGTAATCAACATGCATTACATGTTATTTTACTCTAGAATAATCTTATGTAAGTAAAAGATGTTCTGCATTAAATGTGTGTTAGATTAGTGAAAAAACAGCAATTTGTCCCCTCCCTCATCAATACCACTGTGGTGTCCTTGAGAAAGACCCTTAACTAGGTGTAACTCTGTGAAAGTTAACAGGACACTTCTGATAAAAACAGGTGGTCTTTTAGAGAACGTCCCCTGAATAGATAAAGGGTAACAAGAAAAATTATATAAATAATAGACAAGGAACAAGAGATGTTTTGAATGTCATAAGGTCAAAATTACCTTGAATCACATAGTATAAATCAAAATCAACAAAAGAGCAATGATATGCAAGTGTTATAACAAGTTTCAGTTAGCTCAACGCAGTACACGTAGTAATTTTTAAAAAAATTATATAATAAAATAACTAAAGATTCTAAAAGAAGAAAGTAATAAATATAAATAAATCCAGCATGTAGCATTTCCATCAGTAAGGTTCTTTTCCGTTCTGATATGTCTGACTGGTAATAGAAGTTAATTGATAAAGAAAATTTGACAGCATTTTTACACAAGTGCCTAATACTTTTAACAGTACTGTAGCTTTGCAGGTAGGTTTCTTGAAACATCTTGGAGACGTTGTCTGTCTCAGTTTGTTCTGTTTCTTCACGTCATTGCAGACAGACTGGATGATGATCAGATCAGATCTCACAGCCGCCTCGATGTTAATTCTGTGAAAGAAATTACTCCGGAAAATTTCCACGCAAGGTCAATATTACAATTAACAGTAATGTGCAGCGTGGCGATTGTATGCTATGTTAAAACATACACTTTCACAACCACTCATCTATCATGTAACAAGTGCATGAACTAAGTTCTTATCCATATCCACAGTTTTTGTGACAAGTATTGACTGACAATCATGGCTTACACTGAAATTATGTTTATTATGGCGTAGCCATCATTTCAGAAGTGAAGGGGACAGAAATGTAAAATGTAATAATACCTTTTTTTTCTTTGTTCTAACAGGTTTTATTTATTTTTCTTACTTTTAAGTGGCTAAGAAATCAAATAAACTGCTGGACAATAACCAATAATTTGTATTCTGTAATATTTTTTTTTCCTAATGTCAATTTTATGA